ACGGGAAGGATGGGAAGGAGGAGGCGCGGATACAGAACTAAAAACAAAAACCCCACACGTCAATGTAGGGAAAAATGTTTTTCACTTGCGAATACATTATTGTACCGAAAATGCGTTATATCTTAACCAAAGGTCGCAACATTGGGTGTTCAAAGTGACAACATCTCTAAAATAACAAAACTTATGTAAAATCAACAAATTGCAGCAACATAATCTAAATCTGGTCGAGCATCTTGACACTTGCCTACCATATAACGAAGTCAATGGGTCAATGCAATGCTTAATTTGCTGACAGAATTTCGAATTTAAAAGGGATGTAAGCGAAGGACACATCAAGTAAAAAGCATGAAGTAATAGCAGGATATATCCGTGACATGCATGCTGAAAAATCAGCCACGGCTACAGCTACTCCCAAACCTGGGTGTCAAAGTAGTGCAGATCATTGAAGAAGGCCATCCCTTTATCGACTCCTGAAGATGCTGGTGATTCTCTGACTGATTCTTTTTCCCACAAGTTGAAGACATGCAAATCATTCAAGAATCCGCCGGCCTGCCGGCGTGTCTGATTATGAGGTGTTGTTCTTGTTTCTGTTCTTGTTTTGTACGTGTTTCAATGTTTCTGTTCTTGGCTTGTACTTGTTCCTTTGTTCTCTTCCCGCGCGTTTTTGCTTCGTCTGAATCAAAGTCACCCCCCCCTCCCCCTCTCCACCCTCCACCCTACTACTACTACTACGACGACGACCACCACCACCACCACCACCACTACTACTGCCACTACTGCCACTCGTACTACTACCACTCCTACTCCCACTCCTACTCCCACTCCTACGCCTCCTCCGATGCCTACTCGGACTTCGACTCGTCAGAAGTTTACACACAGAAGCTTTTACACACGGAAGCATTTACACACCAAAGCTTTTACTCACAGACGCGTTTACACACAGACGCTTTTACACACAGAAGCTTTTGCACACAGAAGCTTTTACACACAGAAGCTTTTACACACAGAGGCGTTCCCGGCTTCCGTCCAAAAAGCTCTCCCCAAGCAGAGTGAAGGATTTCTAGTGTTTTTCCCACCCAGAAGCTTTCACACACAGAAGCTTTTACACACAAAAGCTTTTACACACACAACAGCTTTTACACGCAGCAGCTTTTACACATAGAAGCTTTTACACACAGAACCTTTGACACACAGAACCTTTGACACACAACAGCTTTTACACGCAGAAGCTTTTACACACAGAAGCTTTTCCACACAGAAGCTTTTACACACAAAAGCATTTACACACACACAACAGCTTTTACACGCAGTAGCTTTTACACATAGACGCTTTTACACACAGAACCTTTGACACACAGAACCTTTGACACACAACAGCTTTTACACGCAGAAGCTTTTACACAGAAGCTTTTCCAAAGAGGAAGCTTTTACACACAGAGGCTTTACACACAGAGGCTTTTACACACAGACACTTTTACACACCGAACCTTTTACACCCAGACGCTTTTAAACACAGACGCTTTTACACACAGAGGCTTTTACACACAGAAGCTTTGACGCACAGATGCTCTTACACACAGAAGCTTTTACACACCGCAGCTTTGACGCACAGATGCTTTTACACACAGAAGCTTTTACACACAGAAGCTTTTACACACAGCAGCTTTTACACACAGAGGCTTCTACACACAGAAGCTTTTACACACAGAAGCTTTTACACACAGAACCTTTGACACACATTACAGGCAGCAGTTTTTCACAGCAGCTTTTACACACAGAGGCTCTTACACACAGAACCTTTGACACACAAACGCATTTACACACAAAAGCTTTTACACGCAGACACTTTTACACACAGGCGCTTTTGCACACAGGCGCTTTTACACACAGAAGCTTTTACACACAGAACCTTTTACACACAGAGGCTTTTACACACAGAAGCTTTTACACACAGAAGCTTTTACTCACAGACACTTCTACACACAGAACCTTTTACACACAGAACCCTTTACACGCAGACGCTTTTACACACAGACGCTTTTACACACAGACGCTTTTCCACACAGACGCTTTTACACACAGAAGCTTTTACACACAGACGCTTATACGGACAGAAGCTTTTACACACAGAAGCTTTTACACACCGCACTTTTGACGCACAGACGCTTACACACACAGAAGCTTTTAAACACAGACGCTTTTACACACAGAAGCTTTTACACACCGCAGCTTTGACGCACAGATGCTTTTACACACAGAAGCTTTTACACACCGCAGCTTTGACGCACATATGCTTTTACACACAGAAGCTTTTACACACCGCAGCTTTGATGCACATATGCTTTTACACACAGAAGCTTTTACACACCGCAGCTTTGACGCACATATGCTTTTACACACAGAAGCTTTTACACACCGCAGCTTTGACGCACAGATGCTTTTACACACAGAAGCTTTTACACACCGCAGCTTTGACGCACAGATGCTTTTACACAGAGAAGCTTTTACACACCGCAGCTTTGACGCACAGATGCTTTTTCACACAGAAGCTTTTACACACCGCAGCTTTGACGCACAGAGGCTTTTACACACACACTGGCCTTTTTTTTCCCCACCTGCCAGGTGAGGGTTGTTAGATTTTATGTCAGTTGCCTTCTCCTCCTGCCTCGTCCTCCTCCTCCGCCTCCTCCTCCTCGTCCTCTCCTCCTCCTCCTCCTCGTCCTCCTCGTCGTCCTTGTCCAACTGCGATCCGCGATCTACAATGTTCTCTGCCGGACCTCAACCACGACCATCCACGCCCAGTGTTCCCTGCCGGACCTCAACCACGACCATCCCCGCCCAGTGTTCCCTGCCGGACCTCAACCGCGGGTATCCCCGCCCAGTGTTCCCTGCCGGACCTCAACCACGACCATCCACGCCCAGTGTTTCCTGCCGGACCTCAACCGCGAGTTATCCACGCCAAGTGCTTCCCTGACGAACCTATGTAGGAAGATATGGGACAAAGAATGGCAGAAGATTGCCAGAAAGAAGTAAGAAGATATGCCAGATAGAATGTCAGAAGATATGCCAGATAGAAATGGCAGATAGGAAGCCAGATATTAAAATGCAGATAGAAGCCAGAAAGGTATGCCAAATAGAATACAGAAAAATGTCAGAAGAATGCCACAAAAATATGCCAGATAGAATCCAGAAGATTGCCAGATAATATGCCAGAAGATATGCCCGATAATTCCAGATTTTAGAATGCCAGAAAGAATGTCAGAAAGACGGTCAGAAGATATGCCAGACAGAAGGTCAGAAAGATATGCAAGAAAAGGAATGTCAGAAGATATTGCAGATAGATGCAGAAGGAAGATATGCCAGATAGAATGCCAGATAGAATGCCAGAAGATATGTCAGATAGAATGCCAGAAGATATGCCAGATAGAATGTCAGAAGATATGCCAGATAGAATGGCAGATAGAATGCCAGAAAAAATGTCAGATAGAATGCCAGAAGGTATGCCAAATAGAATGCCAGATAAAATGTCAGATAGAATTAGAATGCCACAAAATATGCCAGATAGAATCCCAGAAGATTTGCCAGATAATATGCCAGAAGATATGCCAGATAGATCCAGATAGAATGCCAGAAAGAATGTCAGAAAGAATGTCAGAAGATATGCCAGACAGAATGTCAGAAGACCTGAGAAGGGGTGGAACGAAAGCCAGCGCTTGCTTTTTGACTCGCGCGGGGGCGCGTGAAACTCCACCTCATCCATATGGCATGGCTCAAACGTGAAGCGCCACAACATCAACAATTGCTATCGGGTCATAATTTTCCAATCATTAAATGGGCCTTTTTAGGGTAAACTCCACGATTTTGTAACTTCTATATCCAAATATGTTTCCTACAATGTACTGCGGCATTGTGAAAAGTTCTATCTCAAGTTCCGTAAATCCGCCTTTGGTTGCTCATTTATCTTAAAACAGCGCAAGTTTGCTCCCACCTATTTTTTTGTGTGAACAGTGGTCATGTGACCTCTCAAAGTCTAAATTGTTTTCTCCCCAGAATCGTGGTCCATGCTTCTCCGCGAAGTTCCGCAACATTTTGGCCGTACGGTGAGAAATCAAAACATAGCTCTACTCGCAAAATGGGCAGTGCAAACCCAAGACAATATTATAACATACGTAAGAAAGGGTATAAGAACGAATGAAAATCGAGGAAAACAATGCAAAACCCACGGGAAATATAGAACAGTGGCGAACATGCAGTCCAAATCAAAAGTATATATATTTAGGCCATTTACAGACCTGGGTCCCCCCCCCCACCCCCCAAGGGTCTGGAAAATAGGTATTTTACAGGAAATGTCGCAGAATAGCATCATCCCTGACATCGATAGAGATAATTGTTTGGCATCCCGGAAAATCTTCTCAGCTATCACACTCGCCAAACATCCCTTTTAAAAGGCACACATACTATCACGGACGTACAGATGCATATCATTCCCGTCATTGCCATTAGAAGATTCAAATTCTTTCTCGATGTTTTAGTACAAGATTCACTTTTAGTTCCGTTTCAGCCTTCTCAGTACGGCCTCTTACAATGATATTACAGCATTTGTCTCCTAACCTAGGTGGCTCCTGGGCGCAATCTTCATTCCAATGCTTTGTGACAATAACCAGAGGCCTGGAGCCTATGCATCACTTGACAGTCGACTCAGTTCTAAACCGGAAAGACTATTCCTTCCGTTTACCAGTAGATCGTTTTTGTAGTTCTTATCACAAAACTACCAGAATCAGGGAGGCACCAAAAAACGTCAAACAGTTTTAAGCATTATAAATACT